CTGCTAATACAGTTATAGAAAATTTTTTTTAAAAAAAATTATAATTATATTTATATATTTAATTAAACAGCTGCTGCTGGTTAATTTAAATTATAAAAATATTTTTATAAAGCTGTATCTGGACAGCCAGCTATTTAAAATCTAATTATTTAATATATAATATAAACTGTATAATAGATTTACAGATCTAGATCTACTTATAATTTAATAAAAACTATAAATTTATTTTAAAAAAATTAGATATTATAGCAGATATTACTTTTTAATAATCTAAAAACTAGACTTTAAAAAATAATTTAATAAAAACTAAAATACTTTATTTTTTATTATTAGTTTATTTATAGAAAGCCGGCTAATTTTAGTTAATTTTAAATATATTTATAAAAAATAAAAAAAAATTTAAAAGTATAAAAGTAGAAGCTGTAGAGGCTGCTATAATATTTATTATTATAAACTAAAAAATTCTACTTTTTTATATATAAATAGTAGTATATAAAAAAAAGTAATAATAATAGTAGTAAATATAATAATAGTAGATATAATAAATATAAAAATAATAGTAGTAGCTGTAAAAATAAATATATTTATAATATTAATAATAGTAGATTTAATAGCAGCAGCAGCAGAAATATTTTTTTTATAATAAAAAATAATAGTAAAATATATTATAAATAGTTAGCTAAGTCTAAATTTATTTTATAAATAATTTATATAAAAAAATTAAAGTAAAATAAACTAACAGAATCTGCAGATATAAAGCTTAAATAGTATACTATAAAAAAATTAGTTTAATTTTATAAAAAAAAACAGAGCTAAACTTTTATAAAAAAAATTAATAAAATATTTTAAATACTACTGTAGAAGAACTAGTTAGCTAAATATTAATATATAAAAATATTTAAAAAAAATACTATATAAAGAAATTTACTAAAAGAAAAAAAAAAGAGAAAAAAAGTTGCAGAAAAAAAAAACCAGAAATTTAAAAAAAAGAATTTTTTATATAAAAAAAAATTTTACTTTTATAAAATTAGCTCTGCTAGTTTTAACTGTAAAGTATTTTAAATAACCAGAATAATAAATTAAAAAAAATTTAATACTATTTACTGGAAAAAAATCTTTTTTATTACAGAAAAAACTATTTATAAACTATTATAAAAAAACTAGTTAATAAATAATAAACTATATACAAGTAAACAAAGCTTTATAAAAATAATAGTAGTAGTAGTATAGTATATTTTTTTTTATAAAAGTATAGAACAGTAAATTATCTTTTTATATTACTTTATCTTTCTATAAAAATATTTATAAAGTAAAGATTTTAATAGTACTACTATAAAAAATAATACCCTTTTATAAAAAAAAATAATTATAAAAATCTAAATAATTTTTCTAATCTTTATAGATATTTATAAAAAGAAATATATATAAATAATTTAAGGTGGTAGTTATATAACAGCTAAATAAGCCGGCTACAGCCGCCCCTAAAAGCAGCAGCTGTTTTATAAGTTAAATAAAGCAGTAATAATATCTTAAAATAATATATTAGTATTCTTAGCTTTGTAAAAGCTATTTATTTATCACACTATTTCACTTCTTAGCCCTTATAAAATATAAAATATTATTCTAAAAATTAATATCTTTAACTATATTTTGAAAAAAGTATTATTTTAGTATAGAAATAATAAAATACTATATTTAATTATATATTTTTTTTTTAAAAAATATCTTTAGTAAATATAACTATAAAATTTATAATAAAAACTATTTACTATTATCTACTGCTTTGAAAAATAGTACTTTAAATTAGAAAAATCTTATTACTAATATAAATTATTATTACTTATTATAATATAAGATATTTTATATCTACTAAACTACTAAACTGCCCACAAGTCTAATAGTCTAAATCTTTATTATATTTTAATTTTAAAATTATTTATAGATTTAGTAGATATAGTATTAAATTTAATAATTGAATTAAAAAATTAAAAGAATTTTTTAAAACAATAAGTATCTGCTGTACTAAAGCTAAATAATTTTAAAATAAAAAAATATTAATTTTATTTATTTACTAATACTACCCCCAACCCCGCCAGAAAGTAAAAACAATAAAAAAAAGATAATTTTAAAAAATATATTAAAAGTATATTAAAAATAAAACTAGTATTTATTTTATATATTTACAAAAGTATAATTTTTTAAAAATAAAAAAAACTTATAACTTTTACTTTAAATATAAAAACTGCTCTGTAAAGCCTATAAAAAAAATAAATAAATTTAAAAAATACTAAAATCTTGAGCTACAAATAAAAATTACTATTTAGATATATTACTAGGCTTATATAAAAAAAACTTTTTATTTTATAAAAACTAATTATAAAATTTAGATAATAAATAAATTAAAACTATAAAATAAAACTATTTTTAAATACTTTAAAAAAATCTAAATATATAAGCTTTTAATATAAGAATACTCCTAGTTTTATATTTATTAATATATAAAATAGTAAATAAAAAACTACTATATCTGCTAAAAAGTTACTTTATATAAAAAAGTAAAATAAAAAATACTAAAATCTTTTCTAGTATTTAAATATTTATAATAAAATATATTTATTGATTTTGTTATATACCTTTTTAAAAACTAGGGCTATAATATTGTTTTAAGAATTATTAATTATTTAATAAAAATAAAATATTTAGTTTTATATAACTTTACTACTAATACTGCTGCTGTTACAACTATATATATTTAAAATACATAAAAACTATATAATCTATTATATTTTATTTTTCTAAATAAAGGATTTGAATTTATTTTAATATAATTGAAATTATTTTATTTTTCATAAACTACAGCTTCTATTTTTATATAAACTTTAAATTTAGAATAAGTCTAAACAGCCCAGCTGCCAGAAATATAAACTAATTTCCTATAAAAATATAAACTATTATAAAGTTTATTAAAGCAGAAATATCTACTGTTTAAGCCTAGTATATAAAATAAATAAATTAATAATCTAAATTAATTAAAAAAAACTAAAAAGGATACTTAAATATTTATTATATTAAAATACTAAAATCTAGTAAAAAGCTTAACTAGAATATTTTAAAATTATATAAAAAAATTATTAGTTTATATATCTATTAATTAGTTTTGTTTTTTAGTATAAAATATATTTTATATTTAATACTAGTCTACTTATTTTTACTAGTAAAAATCTAGTTTTAGACTAGTATTAATCTTTACTACTATATATAAAAATTAATAAATCAAAAGATTTTTAATTTTATATAAAACTACAGAGAATACAGTTACTTTTAACTAATATATATTATAAAATAAATTAAATATTTAGACCCAACTACTAAACTAGTTTAGTATTTCAAAGTATCTACTGAATAATTGAAAATTATTATTATTATTATTTTAAAAAATTATAGTCTACACCTTAATAAAGCGTAGCTTTAAAAAAATATACTATTATAGTAAAGAATTAATATACTAATTTTATCTGTTTTATTTACTAATCTATTTTACTTTTATAATTTAACTGTTTTTTTAATTGTTTTTTATATAACTTATAACTCTTCTAACTGCTAGTTTATTTCTAATTCTATTTATAGCTTTTTAAACTATATTTTATCTATAAATCTAAAAATAGCCTAATATAATAGCTAGTAAAGAATTTTAAAATTTTTTTTTCAAAAATTATCTAATTTAAACTATTATTTCTACTACCCAGCCAGATTAAGATCCAGACACCAGCCTGCTCCTTGACACTTATTTGCTAATACTATTCCTAACCCCACTAAAAAGTAAAAATAACAAAAAGAAAAAGATAATTAAAAAGAAAACTCTAAAAATATATTAAATGTAAAACTAGTGCCTATTTTATATCTTTAGAAAAATATAATTTTAAAAAATAAATAAGACTTATAACTTTTATTTAAAATATAAAAACTGCTTTACACAGTCTATAAAAAAATAAATAAATTAAAAAGATACTAAAAGCCCTAGCTAGTAATAAAAACTATTATTTAAATATATTATTAATATTATATAAATAAAAGCTTTTTATTTTATAAAAACTAAGTATAAATACTGGATAATAAATAGATTAAAGCTCATTTAACTAGACTAGTATATAATAAATGCATCTTTAAATATTTTTAAAAAATCTAAATATATAAGCTATTAGTTTAAGAATACTAGTGGCCTAATATTTATTAATATATAAAATAATAGGTAAAAAACTGCTATATCTACTAAAAACTATTTCATTTTAAAAAATAAAATAAAAAATACTAAATATTTTCTAGCTTAGTGCGTAATATCTGTCTTAAAAAAAACTACTGGATAAACTATACTGTTATATATTTGTAAAAGTATATCTATAGATTTAAAATTTAAAAAATTAGTTTTTATTTATATTTTACATTTTAAATGAAAATAAATAAAATCTAGTGGTTTAGTAAAATCCTACTTTAGGCCCTTAAAGGCCTTAATTATCTTATATATTTAGTAAAAAAAGTAATAGCAGATGTTTTTTATACTAGAGTAAATAAAATAGATTTTATTTTTTTAATCACCTTAGTGGACAAATATAACTAGTTACTAAAATTAGAAATAAAATACTAGTAAAAGTTTATTAAACCTATAAAAGCCTATATATTTTTAATTATTTATAATATTTACTAGTTAAAAATTACCTGTACCTTAATTGGGCATATACAGATTTTATTAGTACTAATAATTATACCCAGATAGAATACTTTTATTATATAAAAATATATTTTTTAATATTTAATTAAAAAATTATAATTAAATAATTAATAAAATATTTTAAAAATATAGTAGATATACTTCTACTATATTTAACTGTAAATAAGTATATTGTTAAAATATATAGTATAAAAAATATTTAAAAAGTCTAATGAAGGCTTATTAATAAAGCTTTAAAAAATAGTAGATATATTATAAATATTAAAAAATATAACTAAATATTTAAACTATCTATAATATATAATAAATATAGTAAACTACTTTTAGCCCTTTTTAATATAAAGCTATTAAATATATAAATTATATTAAGCTTAGTAAATACTACAGCCTTCAAAAACCAATTAAATATTTTATTAATTAGTAGGATTAAATTGTAGTTTTTAATAGTAATCTTATTTAAAGTATAATAATTTATATAAATATCAAAATTTCTGCTGGATTGATAAACTAAAAAAACTAGAACTACTACTAAAAAGAATCTAGGTAGATAAAGCTTTTCTTATAATTTTTATTAAAATAATTTTTTACTATATTAAGTTTTTATTTAGATATAGGGTAATAATTATATATGAACAGCAGCCTAATATTATTTAGCAGGCAAATTTTATAGTTTTTAAAATAATTTAATAGTAAAGTATTAGTATTTTATTTTATAAATATATTAAATATACTGTAGTATTCTGGGGGTACCTTTACTTTTAGCTGTAAATAAATATACTTAAATTTACTTTTTATAAATATATTATAGTTATTAAACGAAACTGCTCCAGGAGTTGCAGAGCAGAAAAAGATTTTATACATATAAAATATTAAAATAAACCTATAGTAGTTGGGCTGTATAGCTATGTAGTAGAATATAAATATATTCACAAAGTTAATATTAACTAGTCAACTACTAAGATTAGCTAATGAACTAATAAAATTAGCTAACAAACTAGTACAATTAACCAGTAAACTGGCAGGATTAGCCGGTAAAAAGCTAATAGTAATATAAGAAAAGTATAGAAAAAAAAGCTGCTGTAAGCAAGAGTTTTAGCTATATAAAATCTAGTATATTGAAAATAGTTTTTAATAAAATACCAGGGTGAATTAAAAGCAACTATATACTTAATATAGTGAATATAGTTAATTCAAAGGTTATGATATATAGCTATAAAGTTTTTAAAACTTAGCTTATATTATAAAAAATTAATGAAATACCAGAGCAAGTGCTTAAAAAAATTATTAATAATTAAAGTAAAAAAATACTTTTTATTAAAGGCTTATATAATAAGCTGTTAGTAAAAAATAAAAAAATAAATTTCATTAACTAGGAGATAAATAGCTGCAGCTTAGAAATAAAAGATTTATAAAATAATTAATTTTACTTTTATTATTAACTAAAGTATAAATAGTTTTTTAATTTATATATATAGTAAAAATAAGGTGCAACCCAGCAGTAGATTACTTTTTACTAAATAAAGCTAAAAAGCTAACCAGCAGGCCAGTAATAAATTAATTAACTAGTAAAAAATTAGCTAATTAATGAATCAGTAAACTAAAAAGCAAAATAATAAAAAAATAATAAAAAAAACTATATAATATAAAAGTAGAGGTATTTAAAATAATAAAGTTTTTAAAAAAAATCTTTACTATATTTTTAATAAAAAACAATTTTTTTACCTTTTTTTTAATAATATACTTAATAAAACAAATATATTCTTTGAATTATTAATAGTAATTTTATTAATACTACAGCTGTAGTAAATTTTATTAAAATAATATATAATTTTTATATAGTAGTTAAAGCTACAGCAGCTAAAGTAGTAAAACTAATATACTAAAATAATCTATTTTTTTATAGTAAATTATAAAGATTAGTTTTAAAAAATAAACTAGATGTTAGACTAGTTCTATAGCTTAATAGTAATAGTACTAAACTTAGTATTAGGATTTACCAGTGGATTTAGTACTTAAAAAGCTGGTAAAACTATAGGCTTAGCAATAAAAATCAACTTTTTTATATTTTAAATAAGCTAATTATAAACATAATATAAAAAGATTTTTATATAGTTTTTTTTATATCCAGCAGATATTATTGAAAATACTTTTTATATAAATATACAGCTTTATATAAAAAAAATTGCAACTGTGAAATTAAATATAATAAAATATTTTAATATATATATTTAAACTTAGATGTTTTGACTTTATTGAAAAAAGCTTTAAAATATAATAGTAGTATATAGTAACTACTTTATTTAGCTTACAAACTGCTGAAATCAACTTTTAGTTAGCTGCCTTTGTAATAAAATAACTACTGAAATAATATTTAATTTTTTTAAGTAAACTAGTAAAAAATAATTTTTAGACTATAAACAGCTATCTGCTGTATTATTAAAAAATAACTTTTTTTATTTAACTCAATATATAACAGATCCGGTTCTATTTAGTTAAAAATATAGATATATTTTTTTATTTTTTTAAAAAGTATAAATTTTTTTAAAATTATATATATTAGTTAAATTATTTTTAAAAAGCTGCTAAAAATAGATAGGTTAAAAATACTATATAGTAGTAGTAGCCGCAGTAAAGGTAGTAGTAGCTATATTAATCTTAAAATAATAAAATTTAAACTAAAAATTAGGCTTTAGTATAAATTTAAATAAAAAAAATTAAAATAAAAATAAATAAAATAGATTACTACTAGTTATTAAAAAGTTATACAGAGTATTTCAGTTTATCAAAAAAAATTAGTAAATTCCTAAAAATAAAAATATTTAAAAACTACTAGATTATTTTTAAATATTTTAGTATTAAAAACAGTAGATTACTATAAAGAGTTAATTATTTTATTAATATCAAAAAAATAAAGACTACTTAAATTTTTTACTTTTAATGCTTAGCAGTAGGGGTAGTAGAATATTTAGCTATAATACTATAAAAAAGCTAATACTTTTAGTTATCTAGTACTAGATTTTTTTAGTTTATTAGTAATTTTTTTACTGCGCATTAATAAAATATTAAATAAAAAATAATAAAAATTCTTATTTTTTAAACTAAAAAATTAGAAATTGTAAAATAAAATTAATAAAATTAATAAAATTAGTAAAATTAATAAAATTAATAAAATTAATAAAATTAATAAAATTAATAAAATTAATAAAATTAATAAAATTAATAAAATTAATAAAATTAATAAAA